TGAATTTTTATAATTCTCTTTTCCCAGGAAATAAGTAGTGATGTACAAGTGGTAATGCTCTAATTTCCTTGATATTTAAAAAGAAAAACAAGGAAACAAAGCCAGCTTTTTAGCTGACACTGTTGATGATCTGACATTAAAAGGAAGGGACCAGAATGCAGTCCTTCAAAGACACATTCAGATGTGACCATCATAATTAAAATCACCAACCAGGTAGACCGTTACACTTTCATATAACGTGAATACTCATCTGAATCTGTTTGATAAAATATTTGCTTAAGTATATGCATATTAGAAATAATAATTCATATGCCACCATTTCATTATGAGAGTCTCTTGGAATTAAAATTATTTACATTATGCTGAAATGCATACAACCTATCTATAACAAATAGCCTAAGAATAAATAAAGCGAACATTTATTTTAAAACAATTGCAAGATGTTTTACATTTCTGCTCAGTATCGAGCAGTGTGTTGAAAATGCATTTTTCATAAAACCACATGCAAGGCTTTTTGATGGTGAAAAAATCCACTCGCAACAGCCACATGTCTAGGCAAATCCTTAGAAGCTAGTATGGACCCCACACAGACATTCCAGAAGAAAAGACATTACTAGAAAGTAGTTTCTCTTGAAGTGAAGTAGAATATGTGTGAGCCTACTAGGCCACTTTGATAAATAAATAAAAGTCTTTTTTCTTTTCTAGCACAAAACTGGTTCAACTGGAGGGCAAGTTAAACCCAAATTCACATTTTACTTTGTTTTTTCTTTCCCTTTTATTTCTTAAGTGATCCCATGGTTTATACGAAGTTTTTTGTTTTTGTTTTTGTTTTTGTTTTTTTAAGAAGAAGAACCATTTGGCTTTGGGCTATCTGCATTTTACCTTCCTGACTTTTCAGCATATCTCTGTGAAACTCCTTTCCAAGAACAAAGCCCAGTGTCCCAGGATTATCGATGTACAAAACTATACTCCTTTAACTATGGGTTTCTTTCAAAATTGGTGTCATTAAACCAGTACAAAAGATCCTCTGAACATTCTTAAATTAGTGCAAAGCTGACTTATTTAGAGTAGTATGATCAGACAGAAGTTTTATCTAAAGCACTGTTGAGCCTGTAACTATATTTAACTATACTCAGACTATATTTTACTATCTCCAGCATCTATCTCAAATCCTTCAGTTGATGCTTTGAAAGACACCATCTGCTGCCCTTAGTACTTAAACTAAATTTAGTCTTCTACATCAAGCCTAAATTAGGCCTAAACTAATCCATGGGCTTTTGTAATCCTGCTCTCTTCTTGCCGTGCCATGGGGTCATAAGCCTGTCTACCTCCTTTTTGGCACTTCTGGCACTCTGACCTCACAGGGAAGTGCAGCTGGATTAGCTTTGGCTGCCTTGTACTCACAACTTCTAATGTCAAAACTAGACAATGGCTAAACCAGGATTTATATAATGATAACTGCGTATTTACTGGTTGATTTTTAAGTAAGGTGATGCAACCTGCGTGGACAATTTTCACTTGCTATGTGTATTATATTGTGAAGGAAGCTTGCCTCTATATTTCCTGCTGCTTCTATTTTTACTGCATGGAATTAACGAAACCTTAGTTACTTGGGTTTCTTTTCAGCTTTCAAAAGAAACCCAATATAAACCTAAAGTTCTAAAAGTAATAGTTTCATGGGAATAGATAAAAATACAGTTTTGTGTAGCTTTTGGGCACATTCTTCACACCTAAGCTTTTCAGGGTCAGAACGAAGAGACGGGGAGGAAAAATACAAGTTCAGCACATTTTTAGGGGTGTATACAATTTTTCTGAGCAAGAACAAAATCCATAGGAGTCCATTGTTAGTTATATTCTAAACTTGATTTTCATTTTAAGCTTAAACCTTCTCCAGTGTGTCTGTCTTATGAGATGGGGTAACCTGGCCTATATTGCATACCGTATCAATATAGTTTTAGAACCATTTGGTACATTCAAAGTTTTTTTCTCCTCCTCAGAGCTAGTAAATGAGTCCCCTTTCCATAGCAATACTAAGTAAGCATTCTGTCATTTTAGTTTATTCTCCTGTGTAAACCAAGGTTAGTCACTAGCTTGTTAAAAGTTATGACTGAGGCAGAAATAAATTTGTAGCTTTACTCTGTAATTCACGAAGTTGAGTTTCGTTCTTCGTGGTGTCATACCTGTACTTTGCAAGGAGTCGAATTAAAAAGGATAGTTCTTTCTTCCAGGTTGCACTTCCCTACCTCACCCCCTTACACAGAAAGGTTAAGTGTCTTTTCAAATTAAGGCAGCGGTAATTAACCAGTGGCATTGTTTGTGATTTACCAACTCTGGGCGTTAATGAGAGAGAAATTAGCACTTAGCAGCAGGAGTTCCTGATAGTCAGTGGCAAATGTTTAATGTGCCAACAAGTTAATTTTGGTCTTAAGCACTGCACTTAAGTGTTTTTAAACAAAAGCATGGTATGTTTTTTATGTGACCATATATATGGGCTGTGTGATGCAGAGCTATAATAGAAGGAATGATACAATACAGTGGAAAAATGCAACCTAGGCAGCACAGGGCAAATAGTTTTGCTATAATAACACAGTCAAAAGCAAGATTGATGGATGTTTTCATCCTAAAGATGTACTTGCTCCTGCAATTAACAGTATGCAGATGTTCTTTTATATAAAGATTATCATCAAATTTGGCATTTCTGAACATAATTTTTTAAGCACAAAATATTCCTGAAAAATGGTGCTTGAGTTGTGATGATTTGATAGAAAGACATCAATTAGCCTTTTGAGGAGTCTCAAAATACTAATTTTATTAAAAATTACAATTTCAAAAAATAACAAATTACTTCAGCACAGTGCCCCATGCATTTTATGGTGGATAGGGGATTCAGACCGCCACACAGAGCAAAATAAGCCCTTCAAAACTTGGTCTGAGCAGTTGCTCATCAGCACCGAGATTTTTACCTGGCACACACGCTCGAAATGATTAAGTACTCCTGTACGTTAATAGTTTCTGCCTTGCATGAAATAGCCCATTGGAAATGTAAGGTCTGTTCCCTATCTTCTGGGGATTTTTGCTTTTAAGACAACTTTGGTTAGTACATAAGTACATCCCCACCCAATTATCCTTTTTCTGTGTTTGGTTGATGTGGGAACAGATACAGAGTCTGTGAAATAACAAAAGTAGGCCTATCCTGCGTCAGCAAATTACTGCCTCTCACCGGAGGCGGTGAGCATCAGTCCTCAGCTTCACTTGCCATTTGTTCCTCGCTACTGCTAGGCTAGCTGGCCTCCTTGACCCAGTGAGGTTGTGCACGTCTCGACCCCGTGCGAACTTCAGCAAAGGCAAGCGGAGAGAAGTCCTCAGAAACAGTAGAGGCTGAAGTTGTTGACCAGCCAGAGAAAACTTAGGGATTGGGTGTAGGCAGCACAGTCCTTCCGTGTGAGCCACTTTTTAGTCTGTGCTTTGTTCAGTGCTAAACATGTTTGAATACATTAGCTAGTGTAGGTGGACTTGTCAGGGTTTTGACCTTGCCACTTTCAAATATCATCTTTCAGTTCCAAAAAGCACGTCTGCCAGCGTTGCCTCAGCTATGCTGAGGGGCAATTTACTTTGCCACTAAACTGCGGCCACTTCTAGGTTGAAGAGTAGCAGCCATAAACCGAAATGTTACAACGCTATGCAGCAGTTTCGGGCAAAAGACTACCGTATCTAATTGAAACTGCAGGAGGAAGCCACAGGGGTTTCTTCTTCCTTTGATGCCTGTTCCATTACATGGGCACATCAAATAGAGTTTTCCCTCCATTGTTGGAAAGAAATCACCCTAACGAAGCTGGTCTGGCACTACCCACAGTTTTGAGTGTATTGTCTGCTAAGTCGACATTTAGGTTACCGTGCATCCCCCCAACACATTTTTATTATAATTAAACATTAACAAAAATTGGCTACCATATTGGTTGAGTCCTGAGCACGGCTCTGCATATAAACCATTACATGACATTCTATTGAACTTTTTCTTGTACAGACGGTATCTAACAGCTCATCCTGCACTGTTGTTTTTGGCAAGTTCACTACAGCATATAATAAATCAAGGAAAGAAAAAGCTTTTTGGCCTAATGTTGTACAGACTGCTGTAATGTTAGACTACAGAAAGCAGTTCTGTTTTTAGACATCCTTTTACTAACCCAACATTCATAATTTATGATTTCACTGTAAAATTCCTGCAACACTACACCAAAAGTAGTGCTGCCCTTTAATTAAGTGCTCTCAGTAGGAAAAACGTGAAACTGATGTGCAAAACATATCGCAGTACACAGTGATTGATAGTGATTACTTCTTTATGAACCCAGCCTGAAGGTCTGAACTTCCTGATGGGTAAAATAGTCCATGGGGCTACTTCCTGAGATTGCCTAGTGGGGATCAGTCAGAGTTAGCAATATCTGAGGAATTCCTGAGGCACATTTCGGAGACGTTACAGCAGAAACTTTCTATTTCTTTCTGAATTGTGCTTTACGTTAATAATTACCTGAATAATAGCTCATTGTAGAGATTATATTTTAAGGGTTCGTTGCTATCTTCATGGTATTATAATTTGCATGAACTGGGACTTGCATAAACCCCTGTATTTTTAATGCTTGCACATCCAAATCTGAAAAAGCAGAATGCATGGCAAGAGAGACTTCTGTATGTACCAAGTTACTAAATGTTATTTAATATTTAAGGCATAGGGATTTTCTTACTGATAAGTGCAGAGCATTCAAAGGTAAAAACAAAACTCTGATGTGGATTATTTGTCTCTAAATAGCATTTTTATTCATGGAATCAGGTATTAGTGACATATCAATTCAACATCGATTAAAATTTGAAAATTAAATGGAGGTCAAATACTCTCCAATTTTGCAGTGAAATTAACAGATTTACTTGTGTTGGAATCACAGAGGTGGGGAATTAAAGTTCACCTGGCACAATCACATAAGTTCATTTTCGGTTTTGCTTGGTAGATTTGGCCCTGGATTAGTCATCTACTGGTATGGATTTATTGAAGAGCTGGACTGCCATCGCGAACGTGGTATCCTGCTAAAAGACTGCTTTCCCACTGACATTGTGACTCTGCGGCACAGCATGGCTCAACGCTGATGTTGGGAGGAAGAGGTAAATCCGGAAGCAATTTTACTTTCCTGCAGTGTAAACTAATGGCAGCATCTGCCCTGAACTTCAGCTGAACTCCTGCTGCCTGCCCTTATGCTACTGCCTCTTTGCACAAACATATCAAGAGTTTCTGTTTTGCTTCAGACCTCTGTTGTGATCAGCCAAAAAAGACAGACACAACCCACTCATTATCAGCATTTCTGTCTCTGTCAAACAGCTAGTTTCTAGATACTCATAATCTTTCTTCCTTCCGGATGGCTTCTTCTAGCATTCCAAACAAAGACAAAAATGCAGAGGCTGAAAGGTGCAACTTTCAGTTCTTATCCCTGTTACAGAGTCACCTTTAAAAATAAGTGGCTTTTTTATGGCTTCACCACAAGTTTACTCAATGCTAGTGATCTGACTGAAACACCTACACTGATGTGGAAAATTGGTAAAGACTGTTATTCTGGGGCTTAAGACAATATAACGCATGGCTCATAAAGCCCAGGTGGTAAGGCAGGATCATATAATTTCTGGCTGTTACAGCAAATAGCCAGATTTTGAGAAAATAATTGGTATATGTGTTTTGTCACTATCTGATTGCCAAAATCAACAACGGAATCCCAAGTTAACAATTAAAAAATAATCTAAGTTAGGGGATTTTTAGGGGGGGTGAAAGTGAAGAGCAAGGATTTATTTTATGTATATAAGCCTGTGAAGTTTGGGGTTAGTACTGTAGGTTTTTTAATAAGTAGTTTAATGACTCAAAAATAACTTGTGTTTTGTCTTTTCCTCCCCAGCCCCCAGGGAATCTATACCCAGGAATTTTTCTCTTAACTGACTTTAAGGAAGGAATCTGTCTTGGCCCCCGTAGGTACTGTAACACACAATTTTCTGGCGTACTGAAGTCCGAAAGAACAATGGGCAGGAGCTCTCTGTGTGGGTTACTTCTGAGGAAGATTACCATCCTGGTGTTCAAGAAGGGGAGCAAAAAAAAGATAGAACAGTGCTTCATACGGGATCAGTTCCACAAGACAAATAAAGCACACAAATGGACATAAGTTTCCTGCGTACTTATGTATCCTTCTAAGAGCATTGTTTTTCTCATGTTGGAACCACCGAGATCAGAGGTACCTTGAAGTGGGTGTTAGCCCTCCTTGAAGTTTTGAGGAGTTCAGTCTCATTCTGTTTCCATCCTCATCGCCACTCAGAGGGGCTGTATTGGGCCTCAGGTTGGTGCTCTCAGTTAGAGGTTTCTTAACGATAGCGGCTTATTGGGCTTGACACTCTTTACAACTCCTTTCTTTGCTAACTGGCATTTGGGAAAGGACAAAATATTTTAAAAAGTCAATGAGAGTTTTGCATGTATGCTCCCTGTATTCAGATTTTTGGAGAAGTTAAGCAGAGGTACGGATTCTGTTGTAGAATTAAAGGTGTGATAACAGTCTCCCTAAAGCACAAGCTGATAACCTCTTCCATAAGGAAAGGGTCTTTAAAACATTACAGTCCATATTCACCATCTTTTTCAGTTGAGGTGATACTTTGTGCGCCTGTATGATTTTAAAAATCACATGCAGACTTTTTACAGTCTTGCCTTGAGTTAAAAGAGAGGGTATTAATCCTATTCAGTTTTTTCAGCTATAGTTTTCAGCTGCATATGCAGTATTTTTATTTTGAAGTTTTAGTTCTCTCTTTAACACTTTTTGGTAAGTTTCAGACAGGAGTTTATCATTTTGACTAATCTTTAATTTTCAGGAAAAAATATCTTTAGTCTTCCTAGTACTCTGTCCCTAGCTGCAGAGACAAGCTAGTATAGCTCCACTACAGTGAGTTATTGTTGCATAGAGATTATTTTCTTGGGTTTGAATGTGTTATAGTGGAAAGATTTATTTTTCAAAAAATATTCAAACACCTGTTACTCATTTATGTTCAACTATTTAAGGTATTGTGCTTAGCTTATTTTAGCTGACCAGCTTTAAGGATCTGCCCGTAAAGATACACAGAAGCAGTCTGTGAAGTATATCTGCCCGATGCTACACAGAAGCTGCATTTAGGGTGTTGCTGCCACTGGGACTTTTAACTGTGGTTTAGGTTAGCCGAATGTGTAAAATCAAGAAGAGAATAAAAAATAAGAAATAACTGAACATTATTGTAGTAGAAAATTTAGAAGTAATGGTTGTCTGTGTGAAATGGGTTTTAAGGGCAAACTGAATTCGTTTTAGCTAGTGCATATGCTTTCTGTTGTATGAAATCATTTAAATCAGCTTTTACATGATGCACTAATGCTGCTTTTTCTTTTTGAATAAATTAAATTTATCTGCACAGATGTTGAAAATTCTGCTCAACCTCCATCAAAGCTTTGCTTTATTTGTTTTTGCGTTAAACAAATTTATGTGAGGACACACAGATAAATCATGTTAGGCTTGTATTTGTTTATTTATTCCTCTACCTAATGCTGTGATATAACAGGTTGGAAAGCAGTACAGCTGTCTTTAATCAAAGCTTTGACCTTATCTTTATATATTGCCCCCTTTTAAGAATCTTCGTATTAGAATGAGGATGAAGTAAGCCACGAAAGTGTACATACTGTACTAATTTCATTACACACTATCGAACAAGCTTTGCCACCACAAGAATTACGCTATGTCACTATTTTAAATGCTGAAAGCAGAACTTTAAAAAAATTAAGACTGCTTTGTTATTCCTACTTGTATCTTGCAAAAAACCCTCATTTGTGTATTTTCTCTGTCAGATGTAAATATCAACTTTAATATTAAAGAGGAGAGACTGCTGTTTGTTTGTGGTTGTTTGTTGTTTTTGTTTTCTTAAACAACGCTGTAGTCATTAGAACCTTAACGTTAAAGCCAAATCCAGTTTTATGGAGTATTCTGTAGAGTGTGCTAATGAATTATGCCAAGCTAGAAAACAGAAGTGTGCATAAAACTGAATGATGTTCTCACTGGCATATATAGACTTGCCAAGCATCTGCTCTTACAAGCACTGTAATAAGGCCTGTTCTGAGCTTTAGGAATCGATGTAATTGTGTTGAACAGGGAAGTAAAACTTCCCTGTATAGGAGGAACAGCACAATGGTGGGTCACACTCTAGTATAAAAAGAAAACATTTTTTACCATTCCTATATTCTGTGGACACATTATTAGTAT